TTTGTAATCCTTTAATGAATACAAATCAGCTGCAGTTTAATAAAGAACATCAAGAGCAGCCAGGGAAAAAATGCTCATTAAAAAAAAAAAAAAAAAATATTAAATCTTTAAAGTCACTAAATAACAATTGAATAATATCATCAATAAAATTATTTATCTGAATCCTACTAAATAATGGCATTGAAATGATATTCATGTCAGACTCTAATTCATTTGACACAAATGGGAACATCACTTTTGCCAGATATCAATTGCATAGGAAAATGAACTCTCGAATTGCACCAGGCGATTTAAACAATGCTCCTAGTCTTGAAACTTGTTTTAAACAGATAAATAGATGATTTTGTATCTCTAGATTCATTCATTTATCTGTCTATAAGAAATTCCTGAGTGTGATGGATGGAGAATGTGTGAGGGGAGAAAGAGAACCCTCTCATATTTGTTTACTATGAAATTGTGAGGATGGTTTGTAAAAGAGAGATATACTACATAGTTCCATGTGTCATTGGCACCGAAAGCTGATACAAACTATGCCACTAATGAAAAGAGAGTCAAATACAGGGTGCCTCAGACAACAGCCTTGAAGTGAAAGGGTTAATAAAATCTTGCAACATTAATATCTGTATCACTAACTTGAACAATCCTTAATCAAAATACAAGGTCCAAAATCCCCGATAGATTGAGGGAATAGAGCAAATTCAGTACCCATGCCTAACCTAGAAAAATGTAGTAAGTAAAGTAGGTTGGAATGACAAGGATTCTATGCTATCAACAGATGCCTACCAACTTAAATGGTAAGTTTTCAAACGAACTATACATTACATTACTGTATTACCTATGTACAAAAATCCCATAGCTCTTGCATAAAAGAGATGTAAAAAAAAATGGATGTATGGTTATATTAGGAATATACTCCAACTAATGGAGGTTAAATCAAATTGAAGGAATGAAGAGTTAGATAATTAATGCAGGGTGCTAATGAAGTGGTAATTAATGTAGGCAAAAAAAAAAGGGATTTTTAGTTATCAACACTCCCAAATGGATTGATTTAATATGAAAAAAAATATATAAAGTCCAAGAATATCAAACTATAATTAATACAACCCAACTTCTAACATAAATTTAGAGAAAAAATTACAAGTGAATGAATAGAAGCAAAAAACAATAGATGCTAACCAGATGAAGTGGTTGGAACTTAGCTAGTCTCCTGATTCAGCAAAAAGAACTTATTCGACCTGATGATCTAAGAAATTGACCACAATTTTGCAAACATTCAAATTTTGTTCCATAGTCTATTGGCAATTGCTTTCAACCAAAAAACATATTTAGCTTCTTAATATACAGTGTAGGAATTTCAGAGAGCGTGTCTTTGTATAACAATTTTAGACTAATTCAAAAATTTACCCACATACTCCCACCTTTGTTAGGCTCACAAATTCACTGGAAATCACGCATAAAAATAAAAGTGCCGGGATGGTGTGTACTTTAAGTGAGAGGGATTTGCCAAATGAACACCAGAGCCCTAATTTAACCATCACTGTTTGGGAAGTTAAGGTTGTTTACTCATACAATACTAAGGTTGAACTCCAACCTTAAGGGCCCCTACCGTCCCGCCCCTAAAGTTTTGTGAGGGAGGTAAATCGCGGGATGTGTCCCAGCAGGCCAGGAAACAAAAGTATCATGTACACTGTGCCTATAAGGAATTCAATTCCATATCTCAAGAATTGTAACCTCACACTACGGCTGCTACAATACTATTATAATATAGTGTGGTGAATGCATATTGATTTTTATTTGTTCCTCAAGTAACTTAAAGGGAATTATGATGTACAAACTGCCAACTTGCCATTCGTCATTCACCATCTAATATTTTTCCAACTTAAAAAATCCTTGACAATATTTACAAGATATTTCGATGATGTTTCAATATTAGTAGGTAGTTAGAAAAAAATAGTAAAGAAAATCAAATTTCTTTTATTTTTGGGGAACGATTAGAATTTGATTTATATTTTGAGGTACAAGAAATTAGAATGCTAAGTATAATAGCACAATCAGCTTCTACAAACCAAACAAATTCAGCGAAATAAAGTGAAAAATTAATTGACAGGACTTGAAATTGTTTTTTAGTAAAATATAAAAATGATTTCATATATAATATAACAAAAAAGAAATTTTACAGTTGTAGTGTGGGCAAGTGGAGTAGGTGATTGAATTGGAAAATAGAATTACATTGGCAATGAAACGTATTGAAGAAAGAAAAAGGAATGAGTTGATGTTGAATAAATTTTGCTGTTCTTATACATTATTGTACTGATTTTGAAGTACAATTGTGAGGTAAATTGGTTGTCACATTTTATTTTATTTTATTTTATTTTATTTTTATTTTTTTACTTTTTGTACAACATTTTTATGTCGTCAACTCAATGACGTGTAGGGTATTTAAATTCTGTGAGGAGGTAAAAATGTCCAAAAATGACAATCTTGCAAAGATATTGAAAAAAGTGACTTTTTTTAAAATGTAAAGCCAAAAAATGATATGGAGTGCAATTTCTTTAATTTCTTAATACACCTATACAATTTGAAACCGTACATAAACAAGTTAATAAATTCAACTATTTAAATGTATATTTATTTAACATTCAAATAATAAATTATTAGTAGTAACACAATTAATTATAAAATGTATCCGTAGAGAAGGAAATAAATTGACCTCAATGCATTTGTCAGTTAGAAAAATGGCAACTCATCCATTTCTTCAATTGGTGGTTCCTTGTTGATCTCATTTAGTAGTCCATTAAGAAAAACAAACTTATTGCCTTCAGCTTCTTTTGTGGTTCATTTTTTAATTTCACTTAATAGTCTCACTAAATAACGTGTAGTCATAACACAACTTAATTAATTTTCATACAATTTAATTAATTTACATAGTAATAAAATCCATTAATTGCTTTTATCATTTATTTTTGTATAGTAGACAAAACTCTCTTCAATATCGAATTTTAAAAATTTGAATCTTAAAGTGAAAATTAGAGTTTGGGTTTTTAAGTATTACAAATTAGAGCAACTAGGTTATCAACCTTTAATGCATTGTAAATATGTCATTGATATTTTTTTCTTTTGTAACAATTGAGTCCTTAATGGACGATTTTTACCGCATCTTCGATCGAAAAGTCAAAATTCTCAGTAAAAAGACGTTTTTATCCTTATCTTTCGTTAAATAAAGAATAACTAAATGATACAAAGATAAAAGAAAATACGGCATGAATCATAAGGGGGTTTGAAGTCCGGATTGAAAGAGAGCATAGAGTAAAATATTCAAAAATGAATCATCTAAAGAAAGTGAATTTGTCGTTCTTTAACTTTTTTTTTTTTTTTTTTTGGTTTTAAGATCAGCCTAAAATCATCTTTCTAGAACAAGTTAAGTGTAGATAAAAGCGTTTCCGGATTTTCTAGTGCTATAAAAATGAAAAGAAAGGAACTTTCTGCAAACTTAAGGTATTAGACTTAACCTTTTCATATAGGTGAAGTCCCTTTGTTATTTTCCCCATCTTAAAAGATGCTTTTATTAAACATCCATTAAAATTAAATTAAAAAATGTTCTTTATTTCAACTAGGGATATCATAATTACCCGTTTCTTAAGTTACTATAGAGTTGCGTCTTCTCATTTCTCAATAAATAGATCAATGGATAACCTTTTTTCTTAATGTTGTCACACTCACAAAACTACTCTAACTTTGGTGAAGAAAGTTGAACCAAACTTATAAAAGTTATAATACTAAAGCCTTTAGAGATCCGAACCTCGACAATCTCCTCAAGGTACTTCTGTCAATGCTCTTCCAAATTTCCATGGCATATTCGATTTGACAAATTTTGGTGTTGTCATGACTCGTGGTGCATTTAGCATACGATTCTGGTGTCATTAATGTTCACTTATATGTTGAGCCACTTTTTATGTAACTCAAAAGTTTTAAACTAATTGTTCATCGTCCATCGTCTCTCATTTATAAAAAATTCTACACATTGAAACTATAAATATATAAAATTTCAGTTAGTCTTCACGTGAAGGAGCATGTTGAAGATATAAAGATAACGAAATTCAGTTTTCCTCTTAACATTTTACGCTTTCTGATGAATTGGCTCGAAGGATTTATTTGTTTATATACTGTCATATGATTTTGAATATGTGTATATTGTTGGAAATTGGCAGTATTGTTTATATATATGGAGAAGGCAGGAAGCTACTTATTTTTCGGGTGGCTTGGAATTGCATTTCACTTGTTCTTGCATGTCGATTGTGCAGTGAAGGCCCCAAATAGGTTTGATAACCACAAATCATTGCTTTAGTTTGATAATTCGACTGCGCATCTAATGGCATGTTCAGTATATAATCCACCTTACCATACAAGTCATAAAAATAGAAGCATTAGCTTTCAACAGAATTAGTTTTTACTTTATATTTCTTGAATTATTTTTTGATGGTAACAAACGTAAATGTATTATAAACCGCTTTTATTTCCTTTTGTAAATAAAACCCATATTTGATATGTTGGATTTGACCAGAGACAACTATGATAATTGATACACGTCACTTTTATATTAAGAGCTTGTTTCATATTTGATATGTTGGATTTGACCAGAGACAACTATGATAATTGATACACGTCACTTTTATATTAAGAGCTTGTTTGGTACAACTTAAAAATCAATTAAAATCAATTTTTTTACCGTTATTTTATTATTCCAGTCGTCATTTTTGAATTTTTATCTCACAGCTAGGACCCATTTTATCTCTAATGGTCAAAAAATCAATTATAAAAATCCCTACCAAACAAGCACTAAGTTTTCAAGTCACGTTCCATCCAGTGTAGCAAACAGTTGCTGATATAGAGCAATTCGATACTGGCTGAATCGTATTATAATTATGAATAATCATATTTACATATTTATTTCATTGCCATATAGCAGATATATTCCACAGAACCGTAGTACTGAAGGGCAGATGCCATTTCCTGCAGTCAAACTACATAAATTGAATGATCATGTAAGGCTAAATTACCCCTACCATTCATTTAAAGGTAATAAGTACTTAGCTTATGATATTTTATTTCCCTGGTAAATGCATTTTTTTCAGGTGGTGATGGACAATGGTATTGTTAGTCTCACGTTATCTTCCCCTAGTGGTATGATCGTAGGAATCCAGTACAAAGAAATTGAGAACATATTGGAATATCGCTTCACAGAATCTGGAAGAGGGTGAGTAGTTTTGAAATGAATATTGAGGTAGTGAATAATGTTCGATTTTAGTTATAATATTTCACATTCTCGATTAAATATATGAAAGTTAACTAGTCACTTCATAATACGTGTATCATATCTTATGTACCGCTACGTGAGAAGATACTTAATGTTTATATATGAAAGATGTTGCAGTAGATATTTCTATGGTCTTATCTAACCTTCTTTAAGGAAGTACTAATTCAAGTGCTTTCAATGGCTATAAACTTAGGTATTGGGACATCATGTGGAGTAGGCCAACAAAGAAGAAAAACTTTTTCGACAAGTAAGTTTTCAAATATGATCCTTTTGGAATTCTGGAATTGTAGTCCATACGAACTTGTATACACGAGCACATATTCAATTAATTTAAATATTGAAATAGAAATATAGTTAAATGGAAAATTTATGCAGACTTGAAGGGACAAATTTCAGAGTTATAGTAGAAACCGAAGATCAGATAGAAGTTTCATTCATGAAAACATGGAAGTCCTCCCTTGGTGACAATGTTGTTCCCCTAAATATCGACAAAAGGTGACAGTTAAATTCATTAACAAGGATTGCATACTCAAGAAGAAGATGTCTCTGCCTAATGAATGCAAGTCTTTTACAGGTTTATAATGTTGCGTGGTGTATCTGGTTTCTATTCATATGGAATAATGGAACACTTAGATGGTTGGCCTGATTTAAACATCGATGAAGCAAGAATAGCATTCAAGCTTAACAAGGATATGTGAGATTTTAGGTTAACTTTCACTTTGTTACTCGCTTAGTTGTTAAAGAAATTTGTTGTTAATTAATATGATATGATTAGGTTCGATTATATAGCTATATCAGACGATATGCAAAGGACCATGCCAACAGAACATGATCGAACCACAGGTCAAGCTCTTGCATATAAAGAAGCTGTTCTATTGAAAAACCCTCACAGTCCAACTATTAAAGGCGAGGTAAGTCTTTAACTATTAATCCAACAACTTAGATCGAGGCGCCTGTCTGGGAGAAATTTTCATAAAATTTGTAGAGAAAATCATACCGTTATACGTAAACGTAGCTACAATTGTTGACCATGTTCAAATAGAATAACCAATATGCCCCCTTTGTTAAAGGATAATTTTGGTATTCTGTTTCATATGGAGTCAAAATTAACGGCACAAATGGGGACTAGTGCATCAGCAACAATCTTAAAATGGATTAATATCTGTTTAAAATTGCTCCCACACAGAGGCATTCTACAAAATGCACATTGTGCCAACAAAAACAGATTTAATAAATGTGTTTTACAAAAAGGTGGATGACAAGTACCAGTACTCACGCAAAAACAAGGATGACTTGTTGCACGGGTGGATTAGCACTAATCGAAGCGTAGGTTTCTGGATAATAACACCAAGCTACGAGTTTCGTGCTGGTGGCCCTCTGAAACCTGATCTCACATCCCATGTTGGCCCGACTACTTTAGCTGTAAGTACTTGTCAATCTCATCACTTGCTTACTAGTAATTTTAGACAATCTCACAAGATATATATTTTCAAGATATGGTTAAATATTGCTAGTCGAATTCGGATTCTGGTTAACATTCCTTTAATAAATACAGCTTTCTTTCTTAGTAACTCTCTTTCATTCATCCATGTATAGATATTTTTAAGTAGCCATTATGCCGGCCCAGATTTTAGAATTGCATTACGAGATGGAGAGCCATGGAAAAAGGTATTCGGCCCTGTTTTTATATATCTGAACTCAGATCTGTGGAATACGCCAAGTACACTCTGGGCAGATGCTAAGAACCAGGTACTCTTCAAGCAACTAAATTCCATCATTCACTAGAACCTTGAAAATTCTAACTGCATGTTCAATAGAGAACACTGGACACAAGTCAACCTAACAATATGAATAACAATTTTTATTTTATTTTATTTTTTTTATTTATTAATAAAATATCGAGTGCCAATGTCGGATTATTTTTTTTCCTTTTTCTACCTAAAATAATTCATCTCTGTCATTCGTTTTACCTTATCAGATGCTAATAGAAACCAAGAAATGGCCATATGATTTCCCTCTTTCAAAAGACTTTCCTCATGCCAATGAACGAGGAGCCATTAGTGGTCGGCTCTTTGTGTTCGACAAGTACATGAGTTTAGAACTCATACCAGCAAAATCAGCATATGTAGGGTTGGCTCCACCTGGACATTTGGGATCTTGGCAAGAAGAGACTAAGGTAATATTTTGCTTGAATTTATATGTTTATTTATATACAATTAACATTAGATAAGGTGGTCAATTGCATATAAATTTCTTTTTCATTATTATTCACAGGGTTATCAATTTTGGACTGAAACTGATGAAATGGGCTACTTCACAATAAGAAATGTTAGAGCAAGCACTTATCATTTGAATGCTTGGGTTATCGGATTTATAGGCGATTATAAGTACAAAAAGGATATTGTCATCAAACCAGGTTTTCAACTCAAGACAACATATAAGTCTTTCCATTTTTATTTGAACGTTTCATAAATTATATTTACAAATGTTTTCGGCATTTTTTCTGCTGCTACTTAACTATAAGAGAACATTTATAGGTATATGGAGCCAAATCCAGCTAGGCGATCTTATATATGAACCTCCAAGAAATGGTCCAACTCTATGGGAAATCGGAATTCCTGATCGTACAGCTGCTGAGTTTTATGTCCCCGATCCAGCACCAGGGTTCACGACTCAATTATCTATCAAACATGCTGATAAGTAAGCTCTCCGAACACAATGAACATTCCATCCATTGTGAAATAATATGCTTCATGATTTTTAATGATCACTGTTAACCATATTCATTCAGGTTTAGACAATATGGGTTGTGGGATCGATACACAGATTTATATCCGAATCAAGATTTAGTATACAGAATTGGCATTAGTGAATACAGATACGACTGGTTTTTCGCTCATGTCAATAGGTTTTTAACACATTCTTACTTATTCCCCTATTTTTAACCTATATATATAATCTTGCTAACTTTGATCATAATTTTATGTCGCAGAAAAATAAGTGAAAATAATTATCAACCCACAACATGGCAGATTTCATTTGATTTAACAAATGTTTTCGAGAAAGGATCCTATACATTGCAGCTAGCATTGGCATCTGCTACCTATGCTGAAATTCAAGTATGTACTAACAAATTCTGACTGAAATTTGATAAATGTAAGAATATATCTAATTTTTACTGCACATTCTTAGGTTCGAATCAACAATCCAAATGCACCAGCCCCTTACTTCACTACAATGCGAATTGGCAAGGATAATGCAATTGCAAGGCATGGAATTTACGGATTGTATTGGTTATATAGTATCAAGATACAGGGTATTCAATTTATGAATGGTACAAACACAATCTATTTAAAGCAATCGAGAGGTGGGCGTGCTTTCATTGGAGTCATGTATGACTACATTCGTTTAGAAGCGCCGAAGCAAGCTCCTTGTTAGATTAGAAATTTCAATTATATGCTTCTATTATAAATGGTAGATAGTTTGACGCAGTAGTCTTTGGTAGCGCTGGACGGTTTTTATTTAATTTAGTTAAAATAGGAGTTTTTATCATTTTATGACTAGCAGGAGTTTTACTTGAGTAGGAGTTTGTTCCTATTAATAACTTTCTTGAGTTTGTTTTCTTCTATAAGGTTAGATAGAATTTTCTTTTTTTGTTTCCAGTAAAACCCTGATTAGGATTTACTTTTATTATGTTTTTAATGAATATGAAAGTTGATATTTTGTCAATTCTTCCATTTAAAAGGTATTTTACGTACATCAATGAATGTTTAATGTTCAAATTCGCAATATTCAATCAAATGGATCGACTTTTGGATTGCAAATCATAGTCTGTGTTTCCAGTGCATTGATGTTCCTACGAAATAGTTTAACATTGTTAATGGAAATGTATTCTCATTTAATTCAACTAATTAGGAACCCATACGATGCATGTGGTTTGATAGTGATATTGTAAATATATTTATGTTGCTGAAAATATAAAATAGTAATATTTAGTAATAAGTTGGATTAATATAAAGTAATGTGGTGCTTCATAACGTGCATGATGAGACGTAGTATTGTTGGGTGTTGTATGAAAAATATGTTGATAGTTAGCCTAAACTCATAGAAATAGTTGGGAAAAAATAAAAATCAACTTTTCACATTTATTTCAGCTTCTAAATAGTAACCAAGAGACTCCCAAATCGGAAAATTAATAAGAGGGACAAACCGTATAACAAGATTTTCCAAAGTACTGAATCATCCAACAAACATACATAGTAAAATGAGCAGAAATTTAAGATACCTTTGTTTTTTTACAAGGTAAGTGTATTATATTGAACTTGTGAAAGTAAAGTACAAAATTACAAGGGCATACCCCAGAAAATATGCTAGGAAAATAAGTCATCCCAGCACCAATAAGAATCTAGATTAGTGCTTAATCCTAACAATATCAATAAAAATATTCGCAGAAAAACCTCATGAGCGTTGGAACCATCTATTTTCATTAGATGGAACCAATCCCTTACTCGTGCTTTACTCGTGCACAAATAGAAAAAATAATGTCTCAAATAACAACAGACTCGTGTTTAGGAGCTTCGCCATGGGTCCTAGCATTACGCTCATGCCAAATAGCATAAATCGAAGCTACAAACATCAAACGGATAACAATAGAGTGCATAGACCTCTCAAGAAACTGCTCCATCCAAGAAAGAGTATTTGGCCAACTCTGCTGAACCCAAGGCAGGTTACATTTTGCATGCAAAGAATGCCAAACACGCTCAGAACAACCACACAGCACACAACACATAGACTGTACCAAACCAAAGCAAATAAGCTTGGTCTGTGTATAGAGGCCACCTTGAATTGCTAGCCAAAGGATAAATGCATGACAAGGAATACATTTACAGAACCAGACAATGTGATACCAGGTCACCCTAGGGCAGTGAACTCGAAGAGAGTCCCAAGCACTCCAAACGGAGAAGACTCCATGCACATCATTCATCCATTGCAAGATATCCTCTCTAGTACTATCTAGTCGAAAGGTATCAAGTGTGTCTCGCATAAAGTTAGACAACACAGAGGAACGAGCTGATGGTCAACTCCAAGTATCGCCCTCAATAATATCAGCCACCTTAGCTTGTTTGTTCAATCTAGATTCATGAATGATTCTCTCAACAAGAATCTTCTCTAAAGGGCCAAGAGGATGTCAATTATCAAACCAAAGCAAATAACGTCTACAATTACCAACACTGAATTTCATTTTGTCCCTTCCCATATCCCGAAGTCCAAGAATCTTCCTCCATCTTCAAGAACAATCTTTAGGACACTTCAATTCTTAAATGCTCCTACCTCTAATTAAGTAGCATCATGCCCATGAAACCCACAAGAGGAGGCTGAATTCATACAAAGGGACCAAAGGTGCTTTAACATGACAGCCTTATTCCAAATCTCCATGCTTCGTAGACCCAAACCACCATCATCCTTAGGCATACAAATTTTTGTCCAAACCACTTTAGTCCCATCGGTGTTAAGGTCACAACCCTTCCATAAGAAAGTTCGTAGAGTAGCTTCCACTTGTTTGATCACAGCTTTTGGTAAAATAAATATAGAAGACCAATATACCTGAATAGAAAATAGTATAGACTTAATAAGCTGTAAAATACCCGCATACGAGACTGCTCGGCAAGTTCAACTCTTCGCTCTAGTTATAATTCGATCCACCAACACCTTACGATCCAAAGCTCGCAATTTGGTAGAGATGAGTGGGACACCAAGATAACGTACCGGTAACACGCCCTCCTTATACCCTAAAACATCTAGCAAGTGATCCTTAAGATATGAAGAAACACCACTAACAAATAGATTAATCTTCTCTGGATTTGGAATAAGACCAAAAAGAGCTTTGAATCGATTAAACCAAGCATTAATAAAAGATTCAGAACCAACATCAACTCTACAAAAAACCATAAGATCGTCAGCAAAACACAAGTGGGTGATCTTTTCCTCCTCACAACTCCAATGGTATTTGAAATCTTGCTTAGCAACCATTAAACCCATTAAATCTGAAAAGACCTCCATTGCCAAGACAAATAAATAGGGCGACAAAGGATCTCCTTGTCTCAAACCTCCCTCATTAGGAAAGAAACCATGCAACTCGCCATTAATTGAAATCGAAAATCGAGTGGAAGTGATACACTCAGTAATCCACACAACAATCCTCTCCGGAAAACCAAGCACCCTTAGAACCGCAAGGAGAAAATCTTAGTGAACAAAATCATAAGCTTTCATGAGATCGACTTTAAGAGCAGATCTATGCAGTCCTCCACCACGGTGATAATTCCTCAGCAACTCTTGGGAAAAAAGAATATTATCAATAATATGTCTACCTTTAACAAAAGCAATTTGTTGAGGTCCAACAATGTCTGGAAGCACCATCTTGACTCTATTGGCAATAAGCTTAGCAACACATTTATAAATAATATTGCAACAAGAGATAGGCCTAAAGTCCTTTACTTGAGAAGGATTTGGAATCTTAGGGACCAATGCAATAGTGGTAGCATTAACTTGCTTCAATAGATTGCTCGAGTCAAAGAAAGACTTGTTGCACGTAGAAAACCATTCCCCACAATGTTCCAAGTCCTCTTGAAGAAACCTGCATTAAAACCATTATGTCTCAGAGACTTGTTGTCTTTCAAAGAGAACAAAACCTCCTTAATCTTATCAAACAACACATCTCTATCAAGGGATTCTTTCTGTACCATTAAGATATTTTTGGGAAGAGCTTTTTGAAGCAAGTCTATATCTAGCCTCTCACCACTAGGCTGTTGTCCAAGGAGATTTTGATAGAATTCAACAATAACTTGACTAGTCTCATACGGTTCCTCAACTCTAGTACCATCTTCTCTACAAATGGAAACCACCTTATTCTTGCCATAGTGACTTTTCATAGCCTTGAAGAAGAAAGCAGTATTCTGGTCCCCTAAATTCGGCCATTTAACACGAGCTTTTTGTCTCAAGAAGCCTTCATTAGCCTTACTTAACTCGAAAAATTCCTTTTGTAATTGAACCTCCTCATTATATAAAGATGAGTCCAAAGGTAATGCTGAATCAAACACTGAACATGCTCTTAATCAATTCAAGCTCGAGTAATTCTACTAGGTAGATTTGAAAAATGCTCCTTATTAAAATCTTTCAGGGCAAGCTTCAGCTTTTTCAACTTCAAACACAGAAAATATATAGGAGTTCCCACGACCGCTTCACCCCGTATCTGAGTCACCAAAGGAAAAAAATCTTAGTGATCCATCTAATAATCAAAGAAACAGAATGGAATCTTCCTACGTGGAAACTCTACAAATTTCACAACCATAGGAAAATGATCCGACACACTAGCACTAACAAAAGTAGCTTCCGATCCCTGAAACTCTTCCTCTCGCTCCAAATTCACCAATACCCAATCTAGTTTCTTGAGAATAGGATCAAATACATACTTATTAGACCATGTATATAAACAATTATCAAACTTTAAATCATCCAAACCCGCAGTTGCCATGCAATTCCTAAGATCGTCTTTCCATGCATGCCAAGAAGAAGAATTACCTGCCACATCTGAAAGGGAGATAACAGAATTGAAGTCCCCCATGACCAACCAAGGAAAACATGTAAATCCTCCATGTCTAGCTACTAAATCAACCCATAGATTGCCACGCTTAACTGGGACGTTATCCCCGTATACCACTGACACTATAGAACTGCATTTACCATTGCATACATTAACATGGACATGGATAGCTTGAGCTAAGCTACCCACCAGCAAAACATGAACATCATTTGGATTCCAACATATCCAAATTCTGCCAAGCGGAGAACAATTATAATTAGTAGGGACATTCCAAGACTTGAAGATGGCGTTTGCCAACTTATTTTTATTCTTCTCCTTAACTTTAGTTTCCACCTATTCACACAAAGAAAGCTTCTTGGAAGAGATGAGGCTCTTTACTTCAGATTTTTTAAGAGGGTCATTTGACCCTCTGACATTCGAGCATCCAAAAAACATAATTAAAGTCAAGGAGAAAATCACACCCTCAATATGCCTAACGCCATCTGCCTCCCCTAGGGGAGTGGTGCTTCTTTCCCTTTTTGTGCTTGCCTCCTGGCCCATTCTTCTTCTTCTGAAGTGAATCAATAGCTTTTTTTGCCAACGAGTTAGAATGAGGGATAGAAGTATGACTATCCTCTTCATTCAAAATGGCAAGTGAAACTGGAGACACTTTCCCTTCTTCCCCAAGTTCAGTATTCTCATTGGGCTTCAATACCACCCTCTGGTTATCAAGGTCTCACTAGGTTCAAATGACTTATCAATCTCTCCATGAGTCTTCTTGAAAACCACTAGCTACTTATCAATATCACTATGCGAAGATTGTTGATCAGCCTCTCGCTGGATCACCTTAGAATTATCTGCCAAAGTATGGATGCCATCTACTTGGATAGGAATAGCAATACCATCATCGACACTTCTGGAGGACTTCCTCTTATGCGAGACATGAGTCCATCCATTATCTATAGGTGGTTTATCATTAGCAACACCACTCTGGCCAGCCTTATCCTTAGCAACCCAAACCTTGGAAAGTTTTTTCCTAGGCTTAGTATGTGAAGTGCAAGAGTGGTAAAATACCCCACATTCCGTGCATTTTATGGGGATCCATTCAAACTCAGCACAAATAGTAATCCACTCTCCATTTGCATGGCAAAAATCAAAATCTTCCACTAACACTTCCACAGCATTAATCTCTATACAAACACGTGAAAAGCTAGGACATTTACGTGTAAGAATGATCGCATCCGTGTGTAAAGGACGACCTACAGCACTTGCTACATGATTCAACCCCTCCATTATCAAGTACTCAAACGGGATATTATAAAGCTTCACCTAAATAAGAATGCAACGTAGGTTCTCCTTGGTCAGAGTCATATTAGGTTGCCAACGCTTTAGGATAAGTGGCATATTAGCCATATGCCATGGCGTTCCTTCAAGGACTAAGAGAGCTTGACGAACAGAATCGAACCTAAAGAAATAGAAACCAACATCTGAGGATAGAACCTCCTTAAGGCCATATCTATCCTATAACTTATGAGCAATGGAGTTCACGACTAGAAAAGATAACTTTCTCCCAACAAAGTGTCCAACCAATGTTGTTCTCCAAAATTCGCAACCTGAAGCCGCCACTTCAATAGGATGAACCACCTTCATTCGACCATTAACACAGAGTGGTTTGATGTAATTTAAATCCAGAGAAATTCCTAGGTCAAATTATTTTACTTGAGACCCATTTAATACCCTAGCATAGGATCTTGGCATCAATTGTCCCAGTTGTGATTTCAATTCACCATTAGTTGGATCGGAAGAATTACATGATTGCAACAAATTAGGGAATCAAATTGAATCTGTCTTCAACTACTCACCCCACTGGTGTGAAACCCATTTCAAAGCCTCAAGATCTTGTCCAGCTTTAGTTGCTAAATCACAATAGGGCCCGGGGGCTAGGTGGGGTGAAGTATTAGGTGGTAGATTTAAAACGTGGGTGTGGTCGGAATGCAGGTTGCCGCCTTGTAGGGGAATTATCATCGAGTGAGATTTATAAAATATCAATAAGTACACCATGAATTATCATTGTGTATAACTTAAAAGAGCATAATAATCATAATCAACATAATGGAGACATAAGAATTTTACCGAACATAGGTGGTAAGAATTCTTATGTGTAGTGCTACTAAACTTCGGCCCTCCTAACATAATCATAATCATATCGTAACTTATGGGACCCATAATAATTTTCTTGATATTCATAGCATAACAATAATTCAACATAAGCAGCGCACTTACAGTGAAATTTGAAAGGAGGAGTAATAGAAACTTGATCCCTCTACAATTTTCACGTGTATGTGTATATTATTTGGACTAAAAAGTATAATAGTAAGTGGTAGCATGTGAATGTGAATGAGGGGTTAAAATATGACAAGATTAGGCATGGATCATTAATGAAAAATTCATGATGGTAGAAATTGTTTCTCGAAATTCATGAAATAAGCAGCTTAAGATACCTTTGTGCATCAAACAATGCCACTTTTTATCATTTCAAGAGAAATGATAAAAATTAAATGTGAGAAATCTTTCTAAGATTTTTTTTCCTAAGAATTATTCACCTGCTCAAATGTAAAATAGTCTCGTTAAAAGCCCATAAACGTAGTGACAATTGTTCGCTACAACAAAAAGGACCTTTTACAACATGTAAAAGCAACATTCAATAATTGTGCGTTACTAAAAAGGGTCTATCGTAACATATAATAAGTGTATATTGTTGTTCATAAACATAATTGACATTTGGCAACATATTTTAATGTATCTTGTGAATATCGTCTTTTGTAACGTTCATTGATCGTTGCAAAAAATTTACATATTTCACATTTTTTGCAAGGTTCAATGACAATTATTAAAATCTCATCTTACAGCAACGAATTCAGTGCCTTTTTGATGAAATTATTAATATGTGTATCTCTTACAACGTTCGTTAATTGTCACAAAAATATACTCTTTAGCAACGTTTGTTGTCTATTGTTAAAAACTTTTTCAAAGATCATATTTAGCAATATTCAATGCTTATTACTGAAACTATTAATATATGGCTCTTTTCCAACTTTCAGTGTTGCAGAGACATACTCTGTAGCAACGATCTTTGCATCTCCCAATGAAAATTTTCTTTGACAACATTCATGAAGAACGTAGTTAATCCCATCTCAAATAGTCTATGTTAATTTTTCCAAATGGAAATTACACCAAGACATGCTATTTAAGTTCCATTTTTAAAAATATTTTGAAAGTTATTTGTACAAATTCAGGTGATAATTCAATTTTTTTAATTTTGAACAATAATATTATCAGACTAAATTAATCTACCTACTCATTTCCACCCCATCTCCGCCCCCATTTCACTTTAAAAGCATTTTCATTTTCTTCTCCCTTCTCTATCTATCCTATTCATTCTCTCTCTACCGTTACTCTTCATTTTCAAATACTATTTCACTTTACATATTTTTAATCAAAAAGGGCACTAAATATGTTAAACTCACCTACAAGAAATTAGGTTGATGAGGAAAAATCTGTGATTCTCTAAGCTTAGTAGATTTGGAGAAGAGGAAGTGGCAAAGTTTAATTGGGGTGGTGTATGGGAGATTGATGAATAGATTAATGAAAGTGTTCGGATAATCACAAGGATAGATGAAGGTAAGAAAATGCTGAGATTTAAGAGGTATGATTAATGAAAGTGTTTGTTGCTAAACATGCTCGGCGATCTGAGCGTCGCAATTTTAGAGTGCTTTTTGAGGTGGTTTTCAAATATGCAACATAGTCGGTGTTTTAGAGTGATTTTTGAGGTGGTGTTTGTGATTTTTTTTTTAGGTGGTTTGGTGGTGGTCACATGTTTTCGGAGTATATGTTAAACGCTATTTTCATATGTGCTGATGGTGTCAGTAGTTTTGATAGGTCGCAAGTCACATATACCAAGTCATAGTTCATTGTGCCTTTGTCATAGATACATGTTCATAGGTCATAAATCATACAGAACTAATCACGAATCATGTTTATATGTCACAGGTCACTTGACACGCCCCCACACCGAGTAATGCTAGTGGACCAGGAATGTGACGTGCTCCGATTATAGATACCAACCCAAAGTTAGACCCATCATCAAGACTATTACAATATGCACCTTTTTATAAATTATTTTAACAAAATTTTGGCATGATCTCCCTTATAAATATGACTAATCGACTTATAATTCACTATGCGCAAATCCCAAAAGATAAATAGAATGCAATAGAAATAAGTCAAAATTTCAACTTTTACTATGAAAATAACAAGAAATGTACATATGGATGCAAAATACACAGCGAGCTCTATAAATATCTACAAGTGATACAAAATCACATCCAAAAATGAACATGTATCCCAAAACACTAACTACAGGCACCAAGAGGTGAGTCATACTGACAAACTCTATCGTATGGCTATGACTCCAAAATCAAAGGCTCTATTCCAAAAGATGCTCATAAACTCAATTGTTACCTAATAAGAAAAACTATGAAAAAATATATGAGTTGATAGCTCAGTGCCTAGAAAAGTTCGAAAATAAATATACTTTCCATTTTTACATTGTTATCAAAATCGAGTATATATAACTTAACAAATCATGATATAACATTACATAATAATAATAATTAAGATAGGAATCATTCTAATAATACTGAAAAATATTATCTCGTAGACATGATAAATTCATCACTATAAACTCAAAATATTTTCATTTGAAACTTTCATTTTATTGGGTCCTTGACACAACTACTAGGTACTAGATAGATCTCTACATAATATCAACATCAGTAATCAATAATCAAATTGGGCATAGTCAAGTGGCCCATCTTCCTTTGATCATCAGAGGTACAACCCTTATAATCACTCAAGAAGTATCCCACTCGAGATGTCAATATACACAATATCACAGGCGAGTGGACCATCCTCTTGTGATGACTAGAGTTACATCACCTGACAGCCCCTATGATCACCCCAAGAGTATTCTACCCGAGATGCCAATAATCGTCATATCACAACGGCACAAGCAAGTGGTCATTCCTCCCGTGATAACCAAAAGCACATCCCCTAATTACCCTTGGGAGCAATTTGCGACCAACACAATCACATGTCGTACCATAATAGTGGTCAATAAAACATGTCGTAGATTCTAATTCACAAATGATCCATATCCAATCTAGGAAGTTCCACATATATCATACTGAAAGAAACTTTCATAATAATAATATAATTGAATATATAATTCACATAATTGCACATAATGTAATAATATACCTAATTTGTCAACACTTGAAAATATTTAAGTTTTTCCCACTCAAAGAACTATGTATGCAAAATCAACTCGATTGCTAGGTTGTCCCGATCTCCGTATTGTCGTCTTAAATATGATATAATTTTTAGATTAACAATTAACTATCTTATGTAACTTCAATAATTAAATAGGCGATACTAAATTTTAATCTTTTTATACTTAAGCAATTTTTCCAATTCTTTTAATCACTTAAACTATTTTTCTTTCCTTTTAACATAGTTTCCTAGCTTATTATATTTAATTCAATTGTTTCCTTTCAATAAAATTGAATTTAAACTAATAACCTAACGACTTTAAAATTAAACATAATTATTCAATAAGTAACTTTTTAATTACCTTTGGAATTGAAGAATTCAAAATTAATAGTAAAACCATTTATTTTCTAACAACATTGGCTAATTTTTCCATATTTTTTCTTCTTCCTCTTTCCTTTTCAAAGGTTGACATTTTTTACTATTGACTTGTTTAATAAAATAAGGTATTAAAAAACTCACCTTCTTAAAAAAAATTCGTCCTCGAAATTCAACTGACTAAGTATGAAAAAGCCATGGATATTGAGAATATATCTGCTCTTCACTTTTCCATGTCAGTTCTTCTATCATGATTCCGCTATAAGACTTTAACTAAAGGAATGTTCTTACTATGCAAGACATGTTCATTTATGTCCAATATCAGAATTGGTTCTTCTTCACATAAAAGATTTCCATTTCAACTCTACTCGTTGTGATTCCAAAACATGAGATAGATCTAGAATATACTTATGAAGCATGGAAACATGAAATAAATCGTGAATTCTAGACAATTCCATTGGCAAAGCCAATCGATAAACAACTAGACAGATGTGTTCAACAATCTCATATTGGCCACTATACATCAAGCTCAATTTACCCTATTTACCAAATCTGATAACACCGTACCATGGCAATAATCGCAGAAA